CAAACTCCTTTCACATGGCATACTTTGAGCTTCAATTTCTCATTCACCCGAACATCATTTTTGACAAGTAAATATATGATTTCGATGTACTCACGGAGGAGAACACAAATCAACTTTCATCTTTTAAAATAGCCAAGCGGGTCCCGCTCAAAATTAGTGCCAAAGTCAGCCCACAACTCAATTTTTCCTAGTTTTCCAACAATAATAATGAAATATTTGATCAAGTAAAAGAATAAAGAAGACATGAATATGACAGAGGAATTAAGAGATTTTATTGACTCAAGAATAATGGAGAAGAGAGAAAAATTATAATGGATCCTATAATTCTAGAAATCTATTTTCTCACACTTAATTGTTACAAAATTGTATAAAAGATCCTAATATTTATAGAGAACATGTAAGGACGTCCAAACCATTTTGGTAGAGTTGTTGATGAAATATAATACCCAAAATACGAGTCCAAAACCAAGTATGAATCAAAAAAGTGGAAATCCCGAATATCTCAAGTAGCGCCTAGGCACTTGCACCAAGCGCCTAGGCGCTGGGCCTGGCGCTAGGGCGCCGCGACCTTGGTGCTAAGTCTCGTGCCAAAAACATCCAAAGTGCTTCCAAAGCAATTCTTCTCTAATTCGAACTTTTTTCAAGTCCAATACTAATTTCCAATTCCCAATGAGCTTCCAAAATAGAACTGCAACTTTATATAAGACTCCAATAGCATTCCAAACTTGAATTCTTCTTAATGTTCACCACAATTCTTCATTTTGCCCCACCCACATACTTGGTTAAGGTAGGGTGGGGCTGAACAAGTCCCATGCCCGTGTATTGCCTCTTTTTTTTTTTTTACGTTTTTAGTTGTTGAAAATTATTACTTTTTTTTCCCCAATGTGTTAATAACAATCCATGTTTCCTTTAGAAAATGATGATAATTCTTTTCTTTTTATTTGATTAAAAAACTTAAATTTGATATAAACTTTAAACCGTTGGGTGGCATGTTTTCCGTAGCCACTTCTCCCATGGGTGTCAGGTTGAACGATTTTTTTTTGCCATCCCTAAATTGATGTTCAAATATGGAATATAATTATCGACGCGTGACATATATGAGAATGTGATATATTCTGTGAATATTTTTCAACAAATATTATGTGGTTGTGTAGCATGTAAAATGTGAAAAATCGCTTATTTCATGAGAGCAATCTTTCTCGAATAGATCCTTTTAAAATGGACACAACCCGTTAAAGTTTACACACTCATTCTAAGAAATACGTAACTAAAGATATATTATTCTTTGCTCTATCAGTTGCATTCAAGTACTTTTTTCATTTATTTGTTAGAAAAAGTTAAACATATTTGTGTCAAAAAATTTTACAATAGAAATCATTCATTTATCTAAATATCTCTGGATAATCCAATAATTTTCTTTAAAACGATGCTCCAAATAATTGTGCAGGTTCGATCAAAATCAATGATCTATGTTCTCCGTTACCAAGTTCTCCGACACGAGCAATGTCTTTTCACTATGTTGATTGACTCATGGTGTAATCAAACCCTTTACAACATTTTTGGTGACTAACAAATAAGAAGCATCGATCCTTATACAATGTTGAGGTTTACGAGATCTCAATACGACCCACTATTGAGTTTTAACGGGACCTCAATATGACCAGTACTATTGAGTTTTATGGGACCTCAATATGACATACACTGTGACTTACAACAAGGAATACTGATCCTTCTACAATGTTGAGTTTTAAGGGATCTCAACATGACCCACTATTGAGCTTTAACGGGATCTCAATATGACCAGCAATATTGAGCTTTACGGGACCTTAATATGACCCACACGGTAACTTACAATAAGGATTATCGATTCTTATACAATGTTAATTTTTATGGGACTTCAACGTGACCCACTATTTTCAAAGTGTTTTTACAGTAGAATTCTTCTCTTGATAAATAATACAAACAAATTAAGTACTAAGAGATGATAACACTTTAATGGATAGCTCAAGTGTTAGAAGAAAAACTTCGATGAATATGATGGTTAAAAATTAGATTCAACTAATCAAAGTTTTTCAATAAGAAGATGAAGAAAGGTCAAATGAAATTTAAGTTCAAAACTCTTTTCAAAATATTTTTCCCTTTTAATGAATAACTGTAATAAATTAAGTACTAAAATAGTAATAAAAAACTTTGATGAATATGATAATTTTACAAGTTTGATTCAATCAATCAAAGTTTTCTATATGAAGAAGTTGAAAAGTTTATGCAATGTAAGTGTAAAAATCTTCTTAAAAAATATATCTCTCTTTTAAGATTGATATAAATAAGATAAGCGCAAAGAGAAATGAAAAACTTTGATAAGATAAATGATTCAAGAAATTTGATTCAACAACCAAAATTTTTGCTATGAGGAAATAAATGAAATGAATGTGAAAATGTAAACTCAAAGAAGATTTTATACAAATATATTTCACAAGAAAACTCTATTCTAATTGTTTTATGAATGCAAAGTGAAAATGTACCCATCCAGACGTTGGCATTTTGAACCAAAACAAACCAACTAGCCGTTGTGCTTTACAAATCAGAATGGTTAAAAAATGATTGTTGGCGAACCGGACGTCTGCTTTGACTTTGGTTTTTTTTTTTTTTTTTTTTTTTTTTTTTTTTTTGTTTTTTTTAAGTTTTTTTTTTTTT